AATGATCTCTTTTTTTTATTTTTCTTCTCGCAATGCTAATATTCTAACCAGCCTAAAAGTGCATCATAATATTCCATTGCTTGAAAAAATTTTAATTTTTTAAGACAAAAATTAAAATTGACTCAAAAATAAAAAAAAATGACAATAAAATCCCTCTAAAATATTTAAATAATAATTTGGTCTCTTAAAATATCATAATTCTCCTGAAGTCTCTAGAAACTTTTTTATCATTAATGAATTTATAGTTAATGAGTGAATAGAACCTTGAACTCTTGCTCGAAAATCACATTGAACTCTAAACTCTTAAAATAAATAAAATAAACCCTAAACTTTTAAATTCATAATAAAATAAACCCTAACCACTAACTTTTTTAACACCGTTACTATCCACGTGGATACTGTAACAGTCAGGGTTAAATTCGTAAAAAAATAAATCTTAAATAGTACTTATGTGAATAGTAACGGTGTTAAAAAGTTAGCGATCAATGTTTATTTTGTTATGAATTTAAAAGTTTAGGATTTATTTTATATATTTTAAGAGTTTAAGATTTAGAGCAATTTTCAAGCAATAATTCAGAGTCTTATTTATTCATTAATCTATGAATTTATATAAATTAACAAATTATCTTTTTTAAAAATAAATGATTCACAACTTTTCTTTTTATATTCATAACTTTCATTCTTATATTCGTAATAATTCAATAGTAAATAAGAAATCTAACATAAAAAATTGTGATTTGTTGTTGTATCGTTGTGAATTTAAAAAGCAAAATTATGAATATAAAAAAATTGTGAATTATTTAATTTCAACAAGGATAATTTAATAATTTATATAAATTTATTAATGATGAAAAAGTCTCTAAAAACTTCAAAAAAAAATTATAATTTTTTGAGAAATCAAATTATTATTTTTATATTTTAAAAAAATTTTATTATATTTTTCATAAAAAAATTAAATAAAATAATATTTAGCAATTCTAATATTATAGTCAATATATCTCCTAATACTCCTCTAACCAAGCCATAAACCGTGCCAGCCCTAGACTCAAAAACCTGCAGCAATGAATAGTTTTAGCTTATCCTTGCGTATGGCTTTGAACCGACTAATGAGGTACATGGTCATCTCTTTTTTTTTTTTTTTCAAATCTGTACGTTTTCTTCCTCTCCCTTTTGTTGTCCAATGTCCATTGCTTTGTGCGCCCATCCTTTTTCTACCTCTTTCTATTGTCGACAGGACTGCTCCGACTTCTCCCCACCACCACCTACCATCGGTTGCTGATTTATCGCTCCGACTTTTCACTCCTTGCAAGAGACTCCATCTTTTATCACTCCCTCTGATTTTTTTCCTCACCAGCAAACCCTTGCTCTTCGTGTGACTTTCAATAGAGTATCAGGGACAAACACACAATCTCCTAATTTACGATGCACTGCTGTAAGTTTAACGTTGGTCTTCTTCATTGTGGTGATCATGGATAAAGAATATTTTTATAATACTATTTGACACTCACTATTTTATGATACTGCAGTTGGAGGCTTGCATTCATCCCTTCTTTGATGAACGTCTTCCTAATGGCCGCCCACTTCCTTCTTTGTTGAATTTTAAATCCCAGGGTGAGTTCCAGGATTGCTACCAAGTAGATAGACTTGAGTAATTATTTGGAAAATGCTTTATCTGTAGCAATATACCACTTACTGAGTTTGCTCGTGATACCGTCATGTTTACTACACATACATAAATGAAGATAAACTGCATACTTTTGGTTTTGATTTATTTATCATGTATTCTTTTTCTGGGTCAGTTAAATCTAAAAAGTAGAGATGTTAAGGAACATGGATAATTGTATTGTAATTTCCAACACGTCCCTCTTCAAACCAAAATCCTCTGGACATGGAGTGAGGAGAAAGCATGAATCTATCCTGCCTTATGCTTGTGTTTGTGCTGAAATTTAAGTAATTGAGGGACGTATTGATTCTTTCATATATTTTCATGTTATATTTTAGTTTTTAACTTACAGTTTTGTCTTAGTTGGTTCTCTACTAAATATCAAAAACAGAGCCACTCAAATATAGTATTTTTTGTTTCAAATGTTATGTAAAGCCCCACATAATGTCCTTTTTGGTATTAATTTTGATGAGGTTGTTGAGTTTGGTTTTCTTTAATTGTATATTTACTTATTTTGATGAATAAGTTGACTAAGAAGAAATGGTGCACATAAACATCATGAAGTATGACTCCAAAGTACAGGCCGGACAAACAAGAAGTAAAGATATTGGTATATAAGAATAATTGAAGTTAGCATTTTATTTTACCACAACTAATGAAAAAAGAGAGAGAACATTGTAGCAACTTGTGTAGCTCCAAAATCACTTGATTTGATGTTGAAAAATGAACAACTTTCTCTTAAAGGCTTATTACTTTTTGGTTTTTCTTTTTCAGTCTTCTATTAGTGAGTGTTAACTTTCCTCCCTAAATATCAATAAAATGACTTTTTTTTTTTGGCTAAAAAAAAGCAAACAAAAGACATAACACATTCTGTCCATGCAATTTAAATTTTTTAAGAGGATTTCTTTGAAATCTTTCATAACAATTTTTTATTAACTAATTACTCAATTTGCTTAATATTTTCACATAATATTTGAATAAGTACAGTTTTAGGTGCTTTGTCCTCTTTTCAAATGTTTCCAAACACTATTCCTATGACATGTTAGTTATTTATTTGTGTGGTATTGATTTTTATTATGAATAATTATTGAAGTTTAGCTTTAAATGATTTTTAATAGGATGTTCAACAAATCAATATATTTAAAATTTTTACATATGAAACAATTTTTTAAAAATGACTTAATTACATGTAACAATCTAAAAAATTATTCAAGTGCCACATTTTATGGAGAACTCATTATACATTTGTTTGATAAGAACAAAGGAAAGTGATTCTTTTTGTTTTAATAGTAGTTATTATTTTTAAAGTATATGCAATTTTTTTAAATTTCAAAATAAACTTCTTATTTTACATTATATTATGTGTACCTAACATGTTCTGAAATTAATTTAGCCCATGTTTATGTTACTTGAGTATAATTGTTTTTATTCAATGTATTTTAAATTTTAAAATAATTGGTATGGCATTAAAACCATGTAGACATTGTTTCCTATTATTATGTGTGTAGGACTAATTATTTTAAATGTTATAGTTTTATTATTATTGATATTCTAATTATAATGTAATTTTGAAAAAATTTATACTTTCCCATGCGACAGTTAAAATCTAGTTAGCCTAAAAGCTCAAAGTGTTAGGAGGAGACTTGATTATATAATCTTTTGTATGTAATTATGTAGTTTTAAGTTCATTCAAATTGAGCTCAACTCGAATAAATATGGTTCACTTAAACTATCGACTCAACTCTTATTACAGACAATTATATTTGAAATATAACCAGTATTAAATGTGAACACTTTTCCTAATAAAAATTTAAACATTAATTTGTCATATTATAAGAAACTAGTCCCTCCCAATAAATTAAAACTTGTTGGTATTATCTTATTCATTAGCATTGAACATGTATTATAAATTATTTTTTTTTCTTAACATTTAAATTAAGTTTTAGTAAGAATATAATTTCTTAAAATATAATAGTTGATTTTTTTATTATTTCATTTTAAAAATTTTAAAGATTATCCATACCTACTACAAGTCATTATTTGACATCATTTTTTTTTCAGTTGGAGTCTCACAAAATTTTCTAGATTTTATATTATAAAATAATTATTGATATAGTTGGAATCATGAATTGTTGGGGAAATTTAAAAAAAAAATTGCCAGCGTCATATGAACCCCAGGAAAGAAGATATATAAAATGAAAAAACTTATATTCACTGAAAATATTAAAGCGTTGAATATATGGCTTTTCCCCTTCTATTTCTTGATAGTCTTTTATATGGTTTAATATCTTACTAATCTCATTTCCTATTTCTTAATTTTATGTTTATTTTTATCTAGTTTATATCTTTCATCCAAAAAAAATTGCATTAATTTCTCACTATATCAATGGAACTAATTTTAATGCTCATCATATAAATGAGTACTAAAAGCTCATTATTTCTAGATCGTTTAAATTTAATTTGAATAGTTTAAATTTATAATTTTTACTTCAATTTTTTTTTAAATTATTTTAATGGACATAAAATCTAAAATAAAAACAATCTCTCAATTGTCAACTTTTCAAAAAAAAATTCTTTATTTAGAAATCACCAGTTGAAAAGTTATAAATTTGAATAATCCAAGTTATATCTAAACAGTTCAAGAAAGATGAGCTCTTAATGTCTATCTGTATAATGAGCATTGGAGCTAGTTTTCTATATTAACGTTGGAGATTAATCTGTGGCAAAAAGAAAAAACAAACAAACAAACAAACAAACAAACAAACAAACAAAGATAAGTCACCCTTTACCTTCACTAATTGTTACCTTTTGTTCCACTTATAATGGATCAAAGCGTTAATTAACACCACCTTTGCTAATCTTGTCATCAATCCAAGCTTGTTCTTTTTCTAGCTCTCTTTTCTTGATTGTTTTTTTTTTTTCCTGGGAAATGCATTATTATCAGCATCGAGAAATACTAGTAGAAATAATATCCAAAAAAGTTACCCCCAAGATTTTTCATTTGGTCTGTAAAAAATGAGGAATTGAAGATGCAGATATAACTTCCAGTCCAATGTACAGGATGGAAAGAAAAATTAATTTTAATACTATTTATAAAATATTTTATTATTTTTTATATTTATCTTTACCTTTTTGTACTTATTTATTTTGTGGCCAACCCTTTCTACCTTTATTAAAGATATAATTGTTTTTGTCTTCATTAAAAGTAAAGGTGGAACTCTATTAAATTTTAAAACATAGTTATTGAGTTTTAATGACAATGTTTTCTTTAATTTCAATAAAATATATTAAAAGTAACTTACAAATGAGATTAAGAGATCTCTGAGACTCAGACAACTCTTTCAAAGTTCAAATCCTCTATACATGTCCGAAACAACAGAACAATCGTCTCTGTCAAAGTGCCCAGCAAGCCAACGAAAAAAGTTTACCCATCATTAATGTAAAGTCACAACTCACAAATATGAATTTGTCAATCGTCTGGGTCACGTAAAACAATCAAGTAGCCATTAAATAACAACTTGTCAACCAGCGTATGAGCAGAAGGTTTGAGAAAAACCTGATTGGACCCAAAAAAAAAAAAAAAAACCAATTGCATGGCTGTAATCTGCAAGGGGGAAAATTAGGACTTGATAGCTGCCAGCTCCAAGGATGAATAGCTGCTTCTTCTTCTTCTTTTGGCTAAAAACATTTCACTCTTCTTTTCTTTCACAGCGTATAGGTACTGTAGGCCAAGCTCTAAGCATGTTTTGTTATTATTGAAGCTAAAGTTGAAAAATAGGTATGAAAAAAAAAAAAAAAGGACAAGGCTTCCACAATTTGATGGTTATAAATGTCCTAAGAATCGTTTGACCTTTGACCTTGAGCCACTGCTACTATAATTTCATGCAACAATCTTTGAGTTGGTCTTATTCTTCTGAGACCTTGAAGAAAGTATAGGATAATATGATATTGTTGATACCATCCATCCTACGATCCGACTCAAACTCTGGGTCAATGTAAAAGAATACCTACGATACGAGCAGCATGATATCAAGAAGCATGTCCAACAAGTTACTACCAAATTTCAGTCTGACAACACTTACAGGCATGTCAATCTGCTCGCCAGGAAGTAGCCGCTGCTCCTCAAAGCAAAAACACTGTATTTTATTGAAGTAAACCGCAGCCTGTATTTTAAAAAGAAAAAACAAAGAAAAACAAAATCTCTCATTTTTCTTCCATGATTGTTTTAGGGAAGTGTGGAACTAAAGAATAAAGAAGAAAATTAAATCAATTATTTAGAGATAAGATTCTCCATTAGTTTGGCAAAATGAGAACACCTAAAGAGATGAAAAGAACAGGAAACAAAGCATTAGGCCAAGACAAATGAAGAGTCAGGCCCGATAAGTCATCAAATGAAGCAAAACCCGGTTTGTGTAAAGGAAACCACCTTGACAAAGTGCAGAGTCGTTGAAAAAACCTAACCTGTAAACTTGAAACGACTAGATCAAAAAGACTGCTATTTGGATGTGAGACTGTTACTAGAACGTGCCCCGAATTTTGCAAGCTTGTGCCAAGTAGGAGCAGATATTTCAGCACAAGCATCCAGACTCCTTGTTTTGCAGACATAACGGCATTAGATGAACATTATAATAGGGTTCAGTGAAAAGGAAAAAGAGAAGGAACACATACACCAAAGCTTTGTCACTCTATTTCCCTTTTACATTGCTTTACATTTAGAATTTTAGTTTTTCTCCACTTTCTTGTGCTTTTGCAACTCTATGTAAACGTGTGCCATTAATCAAATTGTTTTCCTATACATATCCGTTGCATCTTTGCATTTGCGTAAACTGTGGTGATGAAATTCAAGAACCCTTGTCAACATTGAAACCCTGCAGCCTTGGCACACCTATAACTATACAACCACGAACAACTTGTGGCATGCTTGATAGGAAGATGCCCAAACAGTATAAGGATAAGAATAGGAAAAATGATGCTAGTTCGCATGAGCTAGGAGAAGGTTCTGCAACTGCAACTGCAAAGCTTAAAGAACCAATGACATATGATGCTGAAGGGATTGGACAACAAGAACCTTTGTTGCCATTACCATGTAGTAGTAGTCTGAGTCAGGCCTCTAAAACAAGTGATGACACTAGTACTCCTTTAATTGTTGCTGACAAACTCGTCACATAACTGTTGAAATGAATCTACGTCTGGATGGATAGGCAAATGGAGGAGAAACAACATTTTTACTCTCTCCCTCCCTCCCTCCCTCCCTCCCTCTCTCTCTCTGCGCCATGGAATGCTAAGAGGGAAGGCACTAGCAAACTATGATGCAAGCTTTACATAAGAGTATGAGAAACATAACCACATCTATAAGAGGAGGACTCAGTAAGGCAGGCTCTAGTTATGGGCCACTTAGGGGGCAACCCCTCAGGAGGACTTCCAAATACTACTGCAAGCCCTTGGAGTCCAGGCTAAGTAAGGAACACTTCAAACCCTTGCCGCTTTGCTAACCTTATTAACATTCCCTTGTACTACCTCCAAGGTACCAACATAAGCGGCTAGGGGGCATGCTAGTCATATCGGAATGAACCATGTTCCAACCATGCAAGACCAAATATTGAATGTGGACGCAATAAGGGATATGATACAAGATATATATGGGTCGAGCTAAAACCAATTGGTTGGCCTGCCTTTGCCAAGCCATACCCCAAGTACATAGATTAGGAGAATCCATATCCTAGGGGCTATTGCATACTAGACTTCACCTTGTTCTCAAGTAACAAAACTCAGTCCACGCTAGAACACATTGGACTATTCATGATCTAGTATGGGGAGATAGCTAACCAAGACAATTTCAACAATCTAAAATTGAAACTACTCCCTAACTCCCTCACGAACCAGCCATTCACTTGGTGCACGTTGCTAGCCCAAATTTTGTGTTTGCTTGGACAAAAAATGAAGCACAAATTCCACATCCAATTCTATAGGGTTAAGCTTGAGGTAAGCCTTTCGGAGTTGTGCAAGTTGTCTCAATGTGTTGGCGAGTCACTATACCAATACCTAGCTCAATTAATGAGCCTGAGAGGCCAATGCAACGTGCCTCTGCCTGAATCATTGTTTGTCAAATTAACAACAACAGGATTAGACATCGAGCTGCGCAAAAAGTTCCAAGGCATGGAATTTTAAGATTTCTATGAGTTGGCATCCAAGGTTTGTGGGTATGAAAAATTGCTAAAGGAGGAAAACCACTACAGGCAGACTACCATTGGGACTTATTTTGGCAATGTTGAAGTGGTTGTAGCCGAGATTAAGAGTGTGAGATATTTCACTTGCCTAGCTCCTATGCGTAAAGCAACCTCTGAAGCCCCAAAAAAGCCAAATGCAATCTAGTACACTTTCGACACCTCCAAGATCGAGGAGATCTTCGACTACTTGTTGAAAGGTAAGTTCATCTCCAACTAATTAAAAAATACTATCTCAAGAAGAACGAAAAGGGAAGGACTATAGTAAGTGTCATTATTCTTGGAGCCACGCTACTAATAACTGTTAGGCCTTCAAAAATGTGATATAGGATAGGATCGACAAGGGTATACTGAAGTTTCCAAAAATGGAGGAGACAATGGTGGTGGATAAAGACCTATTCCTGCCCTTTGTAATGCTAACTGTTGTGGAGTTGAATTGGAGTTCTAGAAAAAGCCAACAGTGTAACAAAAGGTGAAGAGATTGAGATGTTACACGAGAGTTTCAATATGCTAGAATCAACCTAGACCTGATATATTCATGGGATGTCTGGAAGAGGTTAGACCATCTAGGGAGGAACCAGAGAAGCCAAAAGTAGTATGAGACCAACTGGGAGAGCCATCTAGGAAGTAATATTTAGTACCCCCAAGCACAAGGAAACCCTTGTGTGGGAAACCCACAAGATGGTATGTGAAGCCAAAATTCGACTCATCTAGAGAAAAAGAGCTCCTTTCAAAGCCAAAGCCCATCAAACAGAGGGGCTAGTACATTGTTCCACCTAGCGATGTGCCGCCTAAGCAATGGTGGGTAATCAGGCATAAAAAGTTCCTTAGGTTTTTGACTTGCACCCAACATAGATGCCTTCAACGTAAACAAGTTGCTTAGCGACGCAAAGCAGAAGTGTAAAGCTTAGAGTTACTCACTGAGTCCAGCAGGAAGGACAGCAACAAGTTTAAAAGGAACACAAACACCAAAGTTTCGTCATTCTATTTCCCTTTTACATTGTTTTGCACTTAGGATTTTACTTCTCCACTTTCTTGTATTCCTGCAACTCTTTGCAAACTTGCGCCATTAATCAAATTGTTTTCCTTCAAACATCTGCTGCATCTTTGCATCTGGATAACTTGTGGTAAGAAAGCTTAGGAGCCCCTATTTACATTTAGACTTTGTGTCTCTAGCACGACTAGAACTATACAACCACAAACACATCTAATCCAATCTTCTCTTAAACCAAAATTGGGACTTCAACATGTAAGTCTTTTAGAAATATAAACTTTCTAGTTTTAAAATGTGCAGCACCATTGTAACACAGAGTTAACAGGTTTTACACCAAGTCTGATGAGCAAACATCATCAATAAAAATAAAATAAGGCTACAAAGGTAATGGAGACCCAGTCCAAGAACACATTCCACAAAAACAGCCTAATCTAACGTATGAACTGCACTTTGTAAGTCAGAATACACGTGGAGACCCAGAAGATAACCAAGATGCAAGTGAAGCTCATCAAATCCTTGCAACATTCAGTACCCCCTCCCCAAAAGAGGGGGGGGAAGGAAAGGGAATAAAAAAGAACACAAAAAAAAAAAAACACAAGAAGAAGAAGCAGAAGTCATCCTTGCCATCAAGAAATCCAATCATGCAGAACAAAGCATCTTTCACAGCAGAGAGAGATTGAAGACTACCATTCAGCTCAGAGATCCAGATTTAAGCACACACATTTTGTCTCAAAAAATAGAGTCTTCATGAATACCTTCATAGGAGTAACATTATATGTAGAAACACCAACAATTGGAGTCGAGCTTTTGTTTTCAGCAGTATAAAATGCAAGGGCACTTTCTCCAGGCTTGACCCTAACCTGAGTGAATAATCAAATAAATGAATAGATACACAAAAAGTTTAACCTTTCTTTCTCTTTTTCCTTTCTTCTCTCTCTCTCTCTCTATTTCTTTTTCATTTGGTTGGGGGGTTACTTAATCATGAACGCAAAGTACGCTTGGTATCAGTTCAATTTTAGCTAACTTCAGATAAGACTACAAGCGGCCAACATAGGGGATTCAAACTCAGTATAAGGTACAAACACAGTAGAAACATATTTGTTCCCTAAATGATTGAATTATGACAAATAAGCCTTTTCTATAAAATCTCAGAAGTTCCCTTTAGACTATAAGCTTTCCCCCCCTTATTGTGCTGACAGTGTTAATACTTCAAAGAGTAATAGAAATAAATTCAAGATTTTCAAGTTATAACAGAAAATTTTAACAACTAATATCACAATCTAATTTGTATCTGATATGCAGACATTAGCTAGAAGTTCCAGAATGTTAATTAAAGAAAAACCTCTCTCTGGGTAGGAGTAAACTTCCATGGCATACCATCAGCAACATCAGCATTGAACTGCACCACAATTTCCCTAGAAGATATAAATTGCAACTCATCAAACCAATAACACTTGAACAAAGTCAGCTATCTCAAAAACTGAATTCTAATTGAGGTATGTTGAATAATATACCGTAAGCAGGCTTCATAGAGATAGTTAAAGAGTAGTAAAAGCCAAATGAACAACCATCCTAGGTAGTTGACCCTAGATCATCACTTATTATCCCTTTGATTTGTCAATTGTAACAAACCATGATAGACCCAAAAGAGCAATATGATTCCCAATTTAAAAGAGGCAAATTCCTAGTGTAGAGTTCTCTTCAAGTAAAGCATAAAGCTAAATAATATATTTGTAGGCAAAAAATTCTTTGCTTTCACTTTTATTTAGAGATTAGAGAATGCTACAAAAATTTCCCAACATAAAGGAATAAATGAGGAGGAGCATAAAGAAATTCAATCAGGACTTCATTATATGACCAAATACACAAGAATATGTTGAAATGATAAAGATTTTTGGAACTTGAACAACGAACTCAAATGCATAATTCAACACACAGAGGAACAAGAATAACCACATTTAGAAATCATGATAATACCTTGTAGCAACTGTATTATCCCTATCATGTCGAGCAATTTTCTCTTCAACAGTCTGAATAAAATTATAATGTAGTAGTCAGCAGAAAGAAGTAAAAATGACAATAATTTTGAAAAGAAACTTAATCAAACCTCACGCCGCTGAATAGTGCCTCCATAGCCAGTTGCTTGACAAAATCTCCTGTATAAGGGGACAGCAGCATAACTACTTCCAACCATTGCAACAACCAAAGCACTTAAGTATATGAGCATCTTTCGTGATTTCTGTTCTCTGGACAAATGGGAGGAAGAGAACTGTCGAAAATGAGGCAAAGCACATGACCTGCCACCATTCTTTGCAGCAAAAGCTGAAGAACCATAAATCTGATATAGAGACTTTGTACTAAGTTGCCTCTTAAAATTTGAGAGCCATATATTTCCAGATAAATTCCGCTGGAATCCATTAATAGAATCAGTGAACGTCTTGCTTGACCCTTCTGTAACAATAAAAAGGCACCTGAATCATAAAGAAAGTTATCAAAAGAACTCAGATCAAAATGAAGCTAACTCTTTTCACTTTTTTGGTCAAAAGGAGAAGAGAAGAGAAGTTAGCAAAGGTTAAATTTAGTTTTATAGTATTTAACAAATAATGCTCCTGCGCAGCAGAAATGCACGCATCCCTTGCAGAGGCAAAAGTGCATCTCTTCATTTGCAGTAGACCACAAAATTTAGTGCATGCCATAGAAGACGTGTCCAGTTTTAATTACAAAAATGCTTCAGAAGATCTCTCCATAAAATTTTTGACAGCGGTCAAGGAAGGAAACTGAAAATATATAATATATGTCACTGAATACAGTACTGTATTACCTTGATTCAGAGGACAATTGCTGCAAATTCTTAAGATACAGCGAGAGATGGGTTCTCTTAATTAGCCTTGAACACAACATTTTCGCCAGGACTGAGTTTCCAGCAATTAAAGGACATTCAGTACTATTGCGAAGAAGATAAAATGAAGGTGAGAAATGATAGTTGGACTTTAATAATACCTGCAAAAGTCTGACCAAGGAAAAATTAATCAGCAAGAGTAATAAGATTGAGACTGCATAGTTTGAATCTCTAAACGAGTTACTGAACTGAAATTAACTTGGCAGCTGAAAATGAATAGTCTTAACATAAACAAATGAACAAAATGCTTTCCAACTCGAAAGAAATCTAGGGTTTAATGCTCCGACAGAGCCAAGAGAGAAAAAGAAACCTTGGGCAATACGGAGAAAGGTAGTGCTGCGGCCAATTATGGAAGCAATGGCGAAACGGCACTGTAAGCTGAGCTCGGTGTAATAAGAAATTCGATGCGGATGTTTCCCGTCGGAAAGAGCACACGAGACGCGCGAGCAGCTAGCGTCGAAGTCGATGGCTTTTTTAGGACAAGGCAACGTCTCCGTTATACAGTAGCATTAAAGTGCGATTAAGGATTATCTAATTTTCTAAACTCTATATTTTATATTAAAATAATAATATTAATATCAAAACAGCAGGCCAAACCAGCACTTCTAATGTAGGGTCACAAAATTGCACATGGTCATGAACATTTAACAGCATCTAAATCCCAAACTTCAGAGCGAGAACGGCATCTATACTCAGTAAGAATTTGCAATCATACAACATCACGAGTCTAAGCACATACTCACACGAGATCAACATCAATTAGAAAAGAAATTTAACCGCCAAGCGAGGCGACTCAAATCAGTTTCAAAATCCTTCCAGAACTTGTAATAAATACCAGCATAAGAGAATCTAGTTATCCTCAGTTTAGAGTTAAAGAAGCACATTCCATCGTTCAATACAGAGCACATGAAGAAAATAAAATAAAATAAAATTTCAATTCGCAAGAGATAAACACCCATTGAGAGAGCATGTATCCAAATTTACGCAAATCCTTCCACAACCAGAGCATGTTAAAGAAGAACCATCTAGCAATGGTAGCATCGACAGCGCAAGACACGTATCGAGGTAGAAGAAATTTACCTCTGCTTCACTTCTTGGAGCTAATTTCTTCCTCTGCCAGCCTCCTTCAATTCAATCTCTTCCACTTTTCACAAGGAACATGCTCTCTGCTTCTTAGCTCTCTCTTTCCTCCTCTCACGCCCTTCTCTTCTCCTCGATGCTCAGGTCTGAGCAGCTTCTATTGATGATTCTACATATTTGATGTGCTAGATTTTCGGCCCAATACATATAAACAAAACTTATTAGTGGAATACGGACTACACAGAGGCTTTACGACAGTTTTTATAACCGCAATACGTTTCGTACAAGCCCATATTCATTTTAGCCTATCTTATGTTTTATACCCGAAGGTCCAATCTATATTTTTTTCCTCCACCTAAGAGACCCGAAAACAAAAACTCAAATGGCTTGGATGATTGGAGGCCTCAATAACAAGAAGGCCCAGCATAGTGAGGCACAAGTGTTCGCTTTCCAATTACATGTATTTTCTTAAAATAGAAAAAACAACTAAGATTGAATCTAGTGGAATAAACTAATCCCTCACAACAGTCTCCCTAAGAGAGGTGATTATATTTAGTGTATAGCTATACTCAATTGAGGGAAGCGAGGTTTACTTCTATAATCTCTACGTCTAGTCCTTGCTATTGCCTTTCCAAGATTGTGGAGATTGGCTTTCATCACATCGACTTGCTTGAGCATGCATGTTGAATAATATATTTCACGCTGCACGCTATCTTGGTAAAAAAAAAAAAAATTTTAAAGTAGTGTTTTGCTCAAAATGCAAGCAGTGAAGTGCATTCATCACTAAAACGAAACCAATCCAGAACTTATCGAAGTTACAAATCGAACTTCTTGTTTACTTTATGATTTTGATGAATTGCATTTTGTTGAAAAGAAAATTGATCAGGATATTCGATATCTGCTGATTTATAAGAATTCTGTGCGTGACTTCTGGAACATTTGTACGCAGGAATATAGTTCGAAAATCTACAAAAAAATTTGCCTGACCAATAAGAGATGGAGATGATGAACGAAGGATTTGCAGCATTGGATTGGCAATGTAAGTAAGTATCGATGTCTCCTTTTAATAGCTGAAGTACTGACAATTGATGATATATTTGCTTCTTCATAAATGCTTCATTTCTTGACTAATCGTTTATACTCTTTTTTGGTTGGTTGTTTTGGACATATTTGGTTTCGATTTTTGTTTTATATAACTCAAGGATGATTTTGTCAACTTTCTTCCGATGCCGACTGTTCTTCTAAGGAAAGGAAACTGTTTAACAAGAACAATTTGTCACTCATATTTTTGCAGGCATTGTGCCTGTTAAAATGCCTAAACGAGTTTCATGGAGTCTGCTAAGTGAAATTGAGGAATTGAGCATTAAGTGACATGGCAGACCACATTGCTCGTTTCTCAAAAGAGAAAAACAAATAAAACAATGAAAAGAAGTATTATATTGATGAATAGGAGAGCGACTGGACATGGAAATTCCTCGTGAACCAAAACCCTTTATCATATAAGCTTCATATACTCAGTACCATTGTTCTAGTCGTACACCCTAGCCACGAGAGCCCATTGAAACAAATATGAAAGGCTGAGTCAAATAAAGCCAGCCCTATGTGCCTTATTCCATTCTCTTCTGTTTATTGCAGTGTATAGTCACTTGACCTCACATGGTAGAAATTGTTCGTTGTTGATATTAAATTTCGCAGCAACATGAAGAGTGAGTCCTTGAACTAAGTATATAGGTATTTAGAGATGTACCCCTAGTTGGTATATACCAAGGACACAACGCACCCTGTTTTGAGATGGCCCTGCAAAATAGAAAAGTAATAGAGACTGACAAGAGTAGTCTTCGGTGGCATAAGACGCTTATGGGAACCTTCTAAGTCCAGTTATTTTTGTTGGGTCTCTGGTCCAGCAAAGCCTTGGACCACTCCATCTGTTCTACCTGCTTGGTCCCCATTATATCTTAAAGGTTTGGTTTAAGATCAAGCAGACAAGTGAAAACATATCTCTTTTTTCGGCTTTCTGGGTTGTAAAATTAATACAGGAAAGGACCACAATAAGGTCCATCCCACGAAGTATTTCAAATTTATATTAGCTTAAGTAGATGCCCTTGAAGAAAACTAGGCGTGCACGCTCTTCACTCTTTACTATAACATAAGCACTTGGAGATCAAACCCTAAACTTCAATAGTATGGCAGTGCTACCTGACAAAAGTCTCAACCTTGATGACACGTCACCCAGTAATTATTTTGCTTCGTCTTCTGTCTCATCGCACCGTCTTGATGACATATCCCAGATGATAATTTTAATTTAACCTCATTTCCCTCTTCCGGCACAAGACGAGGAAGGTTTGAAAAAAAAAAAAAACAGAAAAGGAACTGGAATTTTTGTGTGCAGAAACTTGTTTAGAAGTTAACGCTGTATGGCCTGGTTATAACAGGCAATCATTACTAGTCAAATCTTTGCTGAAAATCTCATGTCTCTGTTAATCACAGAATGTTCAAATCTCAGTCATAAAGAGAACCAAAATTAGCCCTCGAGAGTTTGCAGCCCCTTTTCCAAGATTAGCCATAAAAACTGTCCACGCTAAATCTAGCTTCTTCTAAATTCTTGCGATGTGATATTACCGTGGAACACCAAAAAAAAAAAAACAAAAAACAAAAACAAAACTAGGGTCTCCAAGGGAAACCATGAATCAAGAAAGTAGAAAAGGTGATATAGAATGGCAGTATATGGCATGATATACGGTGCAACGATACAAAGTGCTTTGGACATCACAGAAACAGAGCGCGCTTTAAATGCGGGGCTGACAATAGAGTCAGCGACTTTCGTGAAGGACAATGTCAGCCTCGCTTCTCAGGGCCCTTAACAAGTCTTTGATGTGAAACCTCAGTCTCTCATCCCACTCCAACCCCACACATGCACACACACACCCACCCACCCACACACACACGCCCGGATTGTAAAATTGCAAAAACATACCCTTCTCTCTTCCTTAACCATAGAGTTCCTTGAGTGAAAATTTGAGGGAAACATGTCATTAAAAGGGTCACCAATATAATCTGTCCTACACAGGGCAGAGTACTAAGGTACTGCACTAATAACCAAGCCATGCACACCCTGCATTTTCTATAAACTTATAATTAATAGTTCCCTTCCCGTTCAATTGTCTTGGCATGTCAGAGTTGAAAAAGCAAAAGTTAAAAAAATGAACAGCTTTAGATCGAGAAAAAAGAGGGCTTTTTTCCTCCACACACTCTCTCTCTCTTTCTCTCTCTGTCAAATGAATACTTTTCAATGTTCATCAATCATAAAGCAATCGATTACAAAATCATTTCCTCATCTCTCAAATCAGGACCTCTTTTCTGTTCTGCCAAAAGAGTACTGTATCCTTCTGCCCACTTTGCATTTATTATTCTCATTTCGAGGAGTGGGCCATAATAAGGTTATCGCACCTTACATATCTCTCCACCACCCCCCCCTCCTCTTTCTTCTGCTCAACCGTCTCTCTCTCTCTCTCAATGCTCGCATTCACATGTCAACTTCAAAGCGTACAACTTTGTTCCATGTGTCAATTGTAATAATGCATGATGGCAATGACTTTCCCTTACCCATTTGTTGATTTAGCCAATACATAAGTGGATCATTTCTTTGTCGTCTCTTCCTTCAGAACCGCGCGTGTTACATTCTCCATCTCCTTCTGGTGAGCTTTCATGAACATGATAGTCTACCCATTTTCTTCTAGTTTAATTTTTGTGAAACTTTATGTTGCAAAAGTTCAGATTTATTAATAAAAAATAGAAAAGGACAACTAGAATGAGAAATAATGGGTTTTTATAGACATCCATTATTAAAAGTAAGCACAAAGGGCAAAGAGGTTGTCAATTCAAATAATTTCATTTGATTGATGAGGTGGGGGTGGTTGAGTTTGAGTATGCATGTGGTGGTAACTGCACGGTACATTCTTTGGGAGGGGTGGTGGTCTTTCACCTTCAATATATTCGCTTGTCAAAGGGGATGACAATTTTGGACCCCACTCTCCTTCTCTTCAATTCCTCTCATCCGTCACACAACAATAGCAGACTTTGACGTGTCTTTCTCACACTTTCCCTTCTCTTTCCCCTCTTTCCTTCTTCAAAGTTTAATTAATGAAACTGTTGCCTTTATATATGTATATAGATAGATAGATAGATGCATATATAGCACCTAGCTATTATCCCACCTATTGCCGCAAGAATTGTTCAGTGTTTACTGTAGCTGCTATGTAGGGCGTTAGAAATAGCTTTTTTCTCAGTAAAATAGGCCTAAAGTAATGGAAATTAGAATTCAGAGAGGAATCTCCTGGGTTATTCTAGCTGCTTCCCGTTAGTGGTACAAACTATACAATTCGTATGTGACAAAAACATCGGGATTTTTTTTTTGGGGTCCGTTAAGGGTATTCATGACTCATATGACTGAAGCTCTAGAAGAATATAAGCATAAAAAGAGTATGGAGTTTATGGCAGTTAAGTAGTAATAAATCCATTGGGTTTCCTATAGGATAAAGACATATATACTAATTTATCAGAAATACTATGCAAAAAAATTGACGGACATGATATGGATAGAAAAGCTATTACGGAGAAAAATTGCTTTTCTCACCAAACCCATTAACAATTGAGCTTGCTAGTGCAGAAACTTTTGGAGGACTTGTCATTCCTGCGGACATATAATTAATGGTAGTTTAGCTAGCCCTCCTAATACAAGGTGCGAATTAAAAAACCTCGACAGATTTTAGCATGTCACATTTTATGAATTATTGTTTAGCAGTTTGTATGCGCCATAAGATCAAACCTTTGTGTTTCTCTTTATCAGAACTCAGAAGGAGGGTAAGAAAAAAAAAATGTAAACTAAGATTTCCCCCTCTTTAAATTATTTTATCTTTTAAAGAAGTTACATCCTAATAATGCATCATTCTAACAGGAGGACCACACAAATTAATTACTACTATTTATGTTTTGATTTTCCATTACACGTTAATCAGGGACAGATAATTTTACTACTATCAAAGAGTTTGACTTTGCAAATCACGTCTTGCACGGCAATGATAATTATGGTCCCTGTTAACTTTGTCTCCTTCTTGCGACATTAATAAATCAAATTATATTATTCAATTAATAATTGACG